CAGAATAGGTAACTTAACGCTGTACTTGATGTTATAATGTGTCTACCAACATTTTCATCGTTGAATTCCCAAACGTTGATTCTTTGCAACATCGAAACTTTCTTTTGCAAATTGATTCTATGCTAATCCACCTTGGAGTGTAAGGCAGCACTTGGTGTAGCAGTCTTTCTCTATAACCATGCCATGAGTCGTTGTTAATCATGACTATCCACGGCCTCCTGTCTCGTGTCATCATTTGTGATATACACATGTTGTTCCTTACCACGATGACAAACTGTTCGAGCGTCTTCTTTAGTGGTATCCCTCTGCACTTTTCCCCTTTCAACCTCCCGTTGTCACGACGTACTCCAGTTTCCCATGACGTGATCAAAGTTTATATGTTGCCTAAGTTTAATGCAAGTAATCATTTCTCTTTATGAGTACTTTTTTTATTCATCTGTTTCAAAACAGCTTCATTAAGTTTGTTTATTCGTGTAGCCGTAATGGCACCCTAATTACAACAATTTTACGAGGCTGCCGGGTATCGGGGATTTATATTGTTAGATCTGCTTCAGCGATCTCTGGTCATGCTCATAATCCACTGTGGGCCATAAACTGGGATGTACTCTCAAGGTCTCTTAGGTTTCCCCAAAGCTAAGTTGTCAGGTCTACTGGGTGTGGCCATATGTTGCTCCGCAGCTACGCCAAGAGAGGACAGTCTTGTAGGACATGTTCTGGAGTCTGTTTAGCAGGAAGACACTGACAGGGGGATGTTTGTCTCATACCTAATTTATATGAGCGTTTACTGAGTCTGCAGTGTCCAGTACGTAAGCAAAGAACTGTGACTTGGTCTGTTCTGTTCAGGTGTTTGAGAAAATCTTTTTCGTAGTTATAACTAGTGTTGGTTTTCCAATCTGTTTCTCGTTTTCTCTTAATGAGAGATTTTACTTCTGGAAAAGATAGTGGCTGGTAGATCGATGGTTTGTTACTGCCTTCCTTGGCTAAAGCATCAGCACTTTCATTGTCTTTGATGCCACACTGCAAGTGAGGTTATGCCTTTTTTGACAACATAGCGAATTGCTTTTTTAGACTTTGTAGTGTGCTGTCAGTAGGCTTGGACTCAAGGGCCTGTATGGCTGTCAGTGAGTCTGTGAAAAAAAAAAAACCTTGCCTGCGGTGATTTGCAGCTTGTTCATATACTGTGCTGCCATCAGTAGGACTGAGAGCTCTGCCTTGTAGTAAGAGCAAGTGGAGACTGCCAGGGACACAGTAGTGGCATCTACGTGTTTAATGTAAACACCTGCCCCACCATTTGTAGTTGCCTCTCTTGCAGATCCATCCGTGAAGATTCTCGTTTAGCTGTCCTGTGGGAACGTGTTGTTGAGTGCTTTCTTTACTAAAGTAGGCTCAGCATCTTTGTTTCCAATGTTCGGGATGGATGCTGTCACACCGAGTGTCAATAATTCTGAGTCGCAAAGATCGAAAGATAGCTCTTCGGGTGCACATTGTTGGTTTTGTAGTCAAGAGTATGACTTTCCAAATTTCTTCGTTACATGGTTTAGGCTTGTGCGCTTTACTCGGATGCTTTGCCTTGGCTGCCACTTTTTCGTGCAGTGGGAGTTTTAGCATTCTCTTCATTTTTTTTTCCGCATGTAAAATGCTTTTGTCCTTCTTTTTTTTTTCTAAAAAAAAAAAAAAAAATGGGGGGGGGGGGGGGGGGGGGGGGGGGGGGGGGGGGGGGGGGGGGGGATATTGGCTGCCTTTTCCATTTCTACAATAGGTGTAGATTGTGTGGCTCGCAGATTTCGGTCTTGCGTTTTGTCCGTTACCTGTTTATTGAAATGGGCTTCTGTTATCCATGATAATGATGCGTATTTGAGAGTTGGCTGACTGTGGCGGTGTATACCTGCTTCAAGATGCGACTGTCTACTCCCCAAGTGGTGCCTGCCAATTTCTTCCTCACACCTCATTTTTTTCATGACATTTTTGTTAGGCTTCCAGTAAAATCTTGTTAGATAGACATCCACCTTGCCGTGGTGTCAAACTCTTATGGAGCAGCTAGGAAGGAGAAAAGCAGTGTCAGTTCGTTTAAAAAAATCTCTCTGGGGCGAAGAAAGAAGATATGCCAGTTAACTCCTACTGAATATGTCGGACATAGAGACCCTGAGATGGCTGCTACATCGGAGGACTGAACACGATTGGGTCGGACTGATGTGGTAGGATGTCGACACGGATAAATGTAACAGGCAACAAGAATAATTTTTTTTAAAATTCCCCACTCAGGATCGCATTCTGAAAAATTAAGACTCAAAGCGTCCCTATTTTGATCAGAATAGAGCAGGAGCGACTCTCAGAAACATCATCCAACCATATAACACATATATGTCAGGACACCTTAAGGTTACGAATTTACCAGCTGCCCTATATGGGTGGGGGCCAGTTTATTATAGTCTACAAAAGTAAATTAAAGTAAGTAAATGAATCTTTTCCACGCCTGAATGCTACTGGGCATAAAGGGCTAGACCTATATTTTAAGACCTTTACTTCACAGGACTGCATCTGCTACACACGCCAAGCTTGTTGGAACCTAGAAGCCAAGGTAATATTTGAAAAAAGACAAAAGTCCGGCTCCGTCACGACCCGAACCCATGGCCTTCCGACCCAGAGGCGAGCGTCTAGCCACTACACCATGGTGACTGCTGTTTGTTCTATACATTGACAACATTAGTGAGCCAGAGTTACAAAAACATGTTGAGTAGTAACTGTAATTTCAGCTTGTGTTCCCCGTTGTTTCACAGATTTGTATGCATGCATCAATAACCATCTAAACCAATCGATTTGTGAGCAAATTATTCGTGGGGCAATTACAAAGGTTGTGGAAAACCAATCGCAATGAAAGCATTGACACTTGACTGTGCTCATATATAGTTGTTGCAAATATCTCGATTGTCCGGATGCTAAAGTAGTATTGTGATAGGCTGGAAAACGACAAAGAATACTGTTCAGCGGTTCAACGATTTTAATTTAATCTGGTTTTAAAATGACAAAGAGGCCACAGGAACAGCTTTTAGTTTTAGACAGTAAAATGGGGAAAGTCTGGCCATTAGTACAAAAGGACTAACTGACTTAGTGTTTGCCTTCTATTTGACTTCTAGACGCACCCTGTGGAGACCTGCCCGGCTGGTGTAGCTGTGCACTTGGCGCTCGCCAGCATGGGTGTGGGCGACTATAGGGTAAGCGGGTTGTCAAGCTGATTTCGCAGGCGGTGGTACGTTTCCAGATTTAGTCTTGAAATTGTAGTCTCTAGTAGTTATACTGTGTAATATGTAGGGGTGTATTCTCTCTATGATGGCAGGTAGGCTAAAAGTGATTTTCTGGTCTGGTGGCATATTGAAGCTTAACGTACATGTTAAATATGTTTCGGTTTTTGCCATTGTTGAGGTAATCTCACTGGGCGTATAGTGTCATTATCAAATTTCCTTGTTAGCTGACCATCGCTTTAGATTCTGATCGAGCACGTTGGTTGTTGTTAATGTTATTTGTGGACCACGCTGATGTTATGTTAAGTGAAATAAACAGATATTTAATGTTTTGATCATATTTCCAGTTGTCTTTAATTAAGATTATGACTTGTTGTTAGTGTGCCTAGTTCAGTATTTGTTGCTTCGCTGATCTAGACTTTACACAAAAGATTTCCTGTCAGGGTAAGATTCTTTTGATCTTACCCCCGCCTAAACGAAACTTTTTCTCTTTTTTTTTCTTGTTACTGAGGCAGCTTAAGGTTGGGTTTTGGCTCCCACTCGCCACGTCATATTGTTAGAGCTCTTGTAGGTTCGGAGTCGAGGAGATTTCAAGGAGTATATTTCCATATTATCCTTTATAGTTATCTCTTCTCTTTCTCCATTACAAGATACACCCCCTGCCCCTTTCTGCGTTGCTTCTAGTACAGTATTAAAAAGCAACAAACAGATGTAATAACTAATATTGAAAACCTCTATTCTTTATTTTTTTTTTCACAAGTTAACTGATTAACAAATACATAAAGCATCATAATAAACATATTTGTTATTAGTTTCTTCCTTTCGTTTCTATTTAATCTTTCGGCTATGAAAAAAAAGTATAGAATTTGTTTAACTGTGCGAGATTTCAACACATCCGAATTGATTGATGAACACGATCTGTGACGGAATTTTGAGACCTTAACGTAAAAACACAAATTTTGTTGCAATATATTACCAACATTTTTTCGTCCCATGAGCAGGAAGCTTGCAGCCTCATAGCCATTAAATGGGTTCTTTTCTTATTGAGTAGTCTCTTTTTGCCGAGTTCAAGATGTTTTCTTACAGCATATCTCCACGAGCAGCTCATAAGCCCATTCTTCACAAGTTGAAAAGTGTTTTGTCACTGACACTTGCATCTGTAAATACTTTATATGGACGTTAGCTGGGATAACAGATAAATTGGTTACAAAATTCATAATACGATAGAGCTTTCTCAAAGGATATGGTCTGAAGTTTAACAAGGACAGAAAAAAAGCGCTTAAAGTACATGCAAGATAAATGACAGACAAAAAAGTATTAGTGACAACATCACATAACACTAAAATAGTCTAATGCATAACAACAGAGACAATTCAGGGGGGAAATGAGAGAGAGAGAGAGAGAGAGAGAGAGAGAGAGAGAGAGAGAGAGAGAGAGAGAGAGAGAGAGAGAGAGAGAGAGAGAGAGAGAAAGAGAGAGAGAGAGAGAATGAGAGAGAGAGAGAGAGAGGGGCACAAACATTAGCGAACAAATGTATACTTAGCAGATGAGGGCACTAGGTCCAAAGTCTGAGAAACTGAACTGTTTTGGGACTATAAAAGAAAGACAACACAGGAATCACATAAACTCTTCACATATAATATTTAACAAACTTTCTAAATTGTGAAAGAAATCATCAGGGGAGAAAGTTACATACAGCCGTGAAGACAGGAAACCTCACTCGGTATTGTGTATGCCACTAGATAAGATTTGATCGAAGAGCTAAACCATATCTTTCTGTTTGTAAGTCTCTGTGACTGTAGGCTTGTGTTGCTTTGCATCGTCACGACCTTTTTCCACCTCCTCGATGGTCTGAGGCAGGAGCCGGTTGTGTGTCTCTGGCAGAAGGAGCACCAGACCGCAACCAACAATGGTCAGTCCACCGAAGATACCTAGTGGTAGGTTGTTTAAACTGTTGTTCTGAAATATTATGTTTATATTGTAATTATACCAGCAACTGTTAATTACTTAACACATTCACAGGTAGCATTGCCTTTAATTCATTGATGTTAACTTCTACGTTATCAATGACTTCAATTATACTTAGAGTATCGTGTAAATGTTTTCATGTATCGTTTTCTATTTCCTTCACTTTTGAATTTTTTTGCTGCTGCTATTGTTTTCTTTACTGGCGCACATGCACACAGTAGACATTCTTTATGTCCAAGCAGATTTAATACGACAGTTCTTCTGCGTTAAAGCTTAAAAGGGCGGTCGTCAGGTTGTGTTGTGGTTTACAGCAAGGCAGCGATATCTGCACTTTGCGACCCAATATTTCGACTCCAAGGATTATTTATTAATAACATTTTTACGCGTTTTACTGTATTTTACCAACCTGGGTCTACACCAGATACGTACTGGTCAAAAGATAAATTGAAACATTCCTTGGGAATTAAATTAAGACTGCTTGTCTTGGGCTGCAGGCTACACAGGACTGCAGGTTACACAGGGCTGCAGGTTACACAGGGCTGCAGGTTACACAGGGCTGCAGGCTACACAGGACTGCAGGTTACACAGGGCTGCAGGCTACACAGGACTGCAGGTTACACAGGGCTGCAGGCTACACAGGACTGCAGGCTACACAGGGCTGCAGGTTACACAGGGCTGCAGGTTACACAGGGCTGCAGGTTACACAGGGCTGCAGGCTACACAGGACTGCAGGTTACACAGGGCTGCAGGCTACACAGGACTGCAGGTTACACAGGGCTGCAGGCTACACAGGGCTGCAGGTTACACAGGGCTGCAGGTTACACAGGGCTGCAGGTTACACAGGGCTGCAGGTTACACAGGGCTGCAGGCTACACAGGGCTGCAGGTTACACAGGACTGCAGGTTACACAGGGCTGCAGGTTACACAGGGCTGCAGGTTACACGGGGCTGCAGGTTACACAGGGCTGCAGGTTACACAGGGCTGGGCCAGCCGTTATGGGTGAACTAATTACAACATATTTTAGAGATTGAGCGGGGTAGCTGAGAACTGTTTTGTTGGTTTCCCATTCATAGTGTGATTTCTCTGATCACGTGATGGTAAACTTCGGGGAGCAGCTTGGAGGGAATAAATTGATTTACCGAGCATGATGTATAGGGGGCTGTGAAGCGATTTCTCCCCTCCCCGCCCTCCATAGGATTGGATCTCTGAACCCACATGTAGAAGTAGGACACACATTTCACTGCGCCAAGTCTACAATACCAGGCTTGTACTAAATGTACTCACTGCATATACCATATTTGGTGCAGCTATAGACCCAATGTTTTCAAAAAACGATGACGCTCCAACACCTTGGTTTCTGAAATAAATAAAAAAAATAAAAATCCACCTATTGTTCATTTCACAGGGACAATATTACAAGACCATATATGAAAATAATGTTGTTGGATTACATTATACTACTTGCAACTTGACAGCCGAGAAGAGCGAAAGGCTGCATGAGAGAAAAATTCGGCACGGAACCAGTTCTAAATTACACACGAAGACAGCAAATCAAATGATTTGCCAAATTAAAGAGAATGCTATGTGACGTCACACCATACAAAGCATACATTAAAAAAATGAGAAGGATGTGGAGTCCAAGGTAGACCAAGAACAAAACAGAAGATAACATCAGATACACTCTACAACAGGTTGCCAGAAGAACAAGAAGCAGAACCTTATTTATCTCTCGACATCAGATGTGGTAATAGGAATTGAAGAGGAGGAAGAGGAAGAAAAAGAAGAAGAAGAAGAAGAAGAAGAAGAAGAAGAAGAAGAAGAAGAAGAAGAAGAAGAAGAAGAAGAAGATGATGATGATGATGAAGAAGTACAAAATGATGATCATTAAGAAGAATAAGAAAAAAGAAGATTAAAAGAAGACGTGGCTTGGCGGTTTCATGCAAAAACAACCCCTGACAGAAAGTTGAGATAGCTATTATAATATAGTATACAACACAGTGATAGTAACTACGTCTCTTGGGCTCCAACTACATGGACGTCATAATCAGTGTTCAGAACTGATTATGAATATAATAGCATGAGTACTGATGCTGAGACTAACAACACAATGGTTTACCTGACGACTGTTGGGAAAACTTCTGAAGCATATAAATAGATTGTGGAATACGATCCTGTGATGCCAAATTTACCTATAATTACTAAAGCAGTTTTCAGCTTTGTGAGGTCAGCACCATTATCTGTGGATGAATATGTACATAAATATAAATCAGTTAGGTCGCAGTCGAAATAAACAAACGAATATAATGGGGATGGGAGTTGGGGGGGGGGGGGGGTGGGTGGAGAGATGATTATTAGCAAGACATTTCACGCTGTATTTATTAATTGTTACATAAAACTATAAATTTATTATGATATCCTTCTTGACGATTTTTTTTTTCTTAACTTGAAAATGGAATATACTTTATTTACGGATGTTTTAACAGGGACTGCATGTTAGTCCGGGTTGGTGTGGCGTTATGGGCGCCTAATTATAACTTCCTTGAAAGCTGAAAGGGGTATCCTTGGAGGTTGAACGGAGTATTTTGGCTTGCTCTGGTGGTCTGCCACCAGCTCTGAGACTTTATGTTTAGTCCTACCATGTTAAACCTTCAGGTCCTGATGGTCTTCTGATCTCATAATGTCAGACTTGTCAGGTTGCATATCAAATGGGGTAATCGACAAGCAGGCACCCCTTATATGTCTGCATCGGCATTGTCCTGCAAGTAACTTTGTAACCCTAGTGGTGACCCTGTATACCTGTGTTATAAAGTTGAACGCTGCTTGTGGGATTTATCATATCTGATTCTTATCCATGAGGTGTTAATCCCACAGACAGCAACCCATTAACCACCAACTTTTTGTCATATTTCAAAAATAAAAGAAAAATAAAAAAGAGAGAGAGGGGGGGGGGGGGGGGGTTCTTCAAACAGTGGTATCGCTTACCTGCCAAGACCAGCAGTGTTTATTCAATCCCTGGGTTATTTTTAAATTGTGACCAGAACGTATCTGGTGTAGACCCAGCTTAGTAAACATGGGTAAAAAAAATATTTTAGAATTGTGGGCGAATTGTGTGGGAAAGATAGGCTTCAGTAAAGGGAACTTGAGATTCACCTCACATGCAGCGAACAGAAATGCGCTGTACGTCACACTCCAACATCAAGTATCTTCAATGGGATAACCTTTTTATATTGTTTATTCTAAACTTTTGTTTTTAACAGACATAGTATAAACACGATTTAAACACAAAAACAACCGAGTGGCTAACAGATAATCATAATCATCACAGAGCCGACTAACATTTAATATCTACTGAGGCTACCAGAGTGAAATCATAACAGTTAGGGTAACCCACACAGGTGATGTTTGCATGTACTCACAAAAGTGACAATGCAATTTTCAGGGTGATTTTTGAAACCTTTAACTACATCCGATGAGGTCACTAATAAATTTCTAGGTATACTGAATACTATGGGGTGTTTTGTGTGGGCGCCACGCTAATTGGCATTGTGACTCTTACTGAATAGGCTACCAAAATGGATACCTGTGCACATTTTCAAACGATACTTTAGTATATTTCAAAGTATGATGAAGAGAGAAAAAGGAGAACAAACCCCGATTTTAACGTGTGTCTAGAAGACTGCAAATACAATACATCTAACATCATGTTAAGGCCGAACTAAACAGTGTTTATTGTATAAACTTACAACAAGAAGACTCGAGAGAGTCATCAATGATTTAGGTTCTAACAAACATAACAATATCGCAAATCTCTCTCATAATTGATGTAAACTCTATGTATAAACCCATACAAAATAAAGACTCAACAGTGTAATATTTAACATGATTTTGTGTGAGATGTAAGGTGATGTAGGGTCTATACATCAGGCAGCACATGACGAAATAACTATCATATTTCTTGTTAAATGTTGGTAGTTCTGTATACAACATATCAAATACAGACTTTACTCGGGGAGTTCTAAATGAATTTTGTGTGGGATTTAAAGAGATTCTTACGGATACATGAACTGTAGTAAATGAAGACACGACTTCCATATTTCATATGATGGGGGTTCTGTATATAAATTATGAGAAAAAAAAAACTTGATTTAAAAAAAAATCAGTAATCAATGGGTTTAAAAGAAATTGCTGCTCTAAAAACACACCACAGACACAATACTTGCCTGACTGATCAGGGATGAAAATGACAGACAGATTGGCAGCAGCACAGATGAACAAAAATATGGCGATGGAGCGACGTCTGCCTATACTGGACAACATGAAGGTTGATCGTTATTATCTGGGGGGGGGGGGGGGGCGCACAGCTCAGAATGAGGGAGGTACAACGTTTAACACGTATTGCACTGTTGACAGACTATACGTTCTGGTTGTCTGTTTAGTGTGTGAATACTTTGGGGTGTTTTATGTGGGCGCCTGGGTGTGACCAGAGGGTTCGGCCGGTACACTAAGCTCAGAGGAAAGGCAAGACGGACATATAACCAGACTACGACTAGCGCCATTAGTATTTGAACTCTTGCCTTTCCTCTGAGCTTAGTGTACCGGCCGAACCCTGGTCACACACAGAGGCATCATTTTCTCCAGGCCATAATAATCATGTTTCTCTTCTGACTTCATTACTTGTTCCCAAAGGGCCTTGACCACATCTGCCTCGGCAAGTATCGGTTCACATCCATTTCCCGCCACGCCGGCATAGCCCGGAGAAAAGATCCAAAATATACTCACTAACCGTGACTTTCCCAGTGGAGCTTGCCACTCTGTTAGAAGCATTCCTGTCTTTACCTTTCCCAGCATGCTTTTAGAGTCTGTTACAATTATGATATGTGTATGTATCTTGATCTCTAGCTACTGGAAAGCTGCAATGAACGCCTCCACCTCCATTCTCATGCTAGATGTTGTGGTAACGTATGCTAGGCTGTCTTGCACTAAAGATTTTCCATTGGCTTTTGCTAAGAATCTCCAGGCACTCCTCTTTCCTCTCAACACAGAACCTTCTGTAAACATAGATCATCTAGACGAAAATTGTCGCGAATCAACTGTTAGACTTCCACCTGTGTAGCACCCACTGGCCAGTCTCTGTACTCCCGGCCCAATGTGATCATGACCCTACATAGGTCAGACATTTCCCTCTGGTACCCTGACCCACTCCTCTCCTCGCCCAATGTTCTCCAGCATGCATACTTGTCGTATTGTGTCTTCTGTGTGAACAATCAACATTTTGTTCCATTTTTAGCCTCCACCCTCGATTGTAGCCTAAACTTTATACAGTGTTCTCTTTGCAGCTACTCAGAGGTATGCCTTAGCCTGCAGCACCTTAAGCCTATCTGCAATAGTCGGCAATGTAAGGATGTATCGCATGCACACAATTGGGGTGTCTCATGAACATCGCAGGATCACCCGCATTGCTTCATTCTGTATGCGCCTAGTTTCTCTAGCTGACTCTTTGAGACATTGACTATCCCCTGACCATAATCAGTAAAGTGTGAACAGCATTCTCTGCTCCATGTCCATTGCTGCCATAATCTTTAGTGCATTAAGACACTTTTGAGCCCGTGTCACAACCTTTTCTATGTGATCCTTGAAAGACAAAATTCTTTCAAAGGTGATTCCCAGAAAACGCAGTCTGCTGTCTCTTTTGAAGCCCCTGCAATTAATATAGAGGCTTGGAACATCCGCTCTAACAATCCTGTTGTCCAAAGAACACCGCAGGAACCCTTTTTTTTCTGGGTTGATTACAGCCTTCCTATCTGTACACCAGTTGATCACCTTATCTACTGTTGCTTGTAACTCTTGAGCTAGTTCATTCCGATCTCTCCCCTTCCTATATAGGAGAATATCATCTGCAGATGTCAATATTCTGCCAACTCCAGGTGTTTCCAGGTTCGCAGTCTTACTCGTGAACACATTGACCAGTCAGATGAAATTGCAAATCCCTGTGGTAGTCCTGCGGCAAAAATACATGGTTCAAAGGCCCATGAACCCAGGTAGGGAGCTACCCAACCAGTATACAAAACAGCTGCTGTCCATCAACCAAGGACAGACTGTCTTATGACTGCGGAGAGGTGTAGATGGATATTGACATACCTTTCTGACACATTTTTTTCTAATCTGTTGTTTTAAGTAGATATTAATTCCACTATGTTCGAGATAAAAACAGCGTGTCTTGTTTGTAGTAATAGTAAACAGTGATACTAAACAATTAAATGATGCATTCTTTTTCGGCAATCGAAAGCGTAAAGGGTGATTATAGTCATTACCTTGCATCTTTCGCCACTGCTGAGAGGTCTGTGTTCGATGCCGAGACAAAAATGTATTAAAATATTACAAAATACACAAACATTCACCATTATAATACATAAGGAAAAAAAATACACTTACAATTTGTTGGAAATAAGACACAATATATAAGCAGGTATCTCAACAACACCCAGCAGAAAGAGGTTCAAGAAGCGGTCTCCGTTCAAATCTGGAGTGCTGAACATGATGCCGTAGTATGCCAAGGAGTTTATCATACTGGAAATTATGAAATAGATACTATTTGTTTCTGTTTGTTTATCAAGATGCAGTGATACATTTTTCTTGCCCTCTTCGATTATCATGATGATCACAGTAAAGCGATACATACACGGTGTGGTAGAATTTATTTTAGTGATAATAATTACATTATTAAAAATTATCAACCCCCCCCCCCCCACTCTCTCTCTCTCTTCCATTTTTAAAAGAAAAACAAATCACGGTAACGATAATGCCATAAAAACATGAACACTACAGAGGTAGCCAAAGAAGAATGGTGAACCAGCACAGAACTGATTATCAGTCACCGCACGCTGGGCGGATATATTGAAGATGTTATACGAGTGCTTATGGACTTCTCCGTGCGCATTGAAGGTAGTCTATCGATTAACTATCTAACTAACCATAAGAACATATGGACTTGTCCGTGCGCAATGAAGGTAGTCTATCGATTAACTATCTAACTAACCATAAGAACATATGGACTTGTCCGTGCGCATTGAAGGTAGTCTATCGATTAACTATCTAACTAACCATAAGAACATATGGACTTGTCCGTGCGCATTGAAGGTAGTCTATCGATTAACTATCTAACTAACCATAAGAACATATGGACTTGTCCGTGCGCATTGAAGGTAGTCTATCGATTAACTATCTAACTAACCATAAGAACATATGGACTTGTCCGTGCGCATTGAAGGTAGTCTATCGATTAACTATCTAACTAACCATAAGAACACCAGTTACTAGTTTTTTCTTCTCATAAAGATGAAAATTAACACTCGGTAATTTGGAAAAAAGTTTTCAACAATATATATAAATGACATTGTAAATATCACGGTTGTCATGACTGGATGACAGCATTCAATCTAAAATGGGTAAGCGGTAGAGGCCTGTGAAGTAAAGGCGGTTTTCATGATGTCGTAGGCGTCAGCCATCGAGTGCCCATTGGTCTACAACCTGTCTTTGTATGTAACCAGATATTAAAGGAGCAAATGATGACATTGGTACCAAACTTTTTTTCATATTCCATTTTAACTTGAAGATATGAACCTAGATTCCAGACACGATACAAGAGTAAGGAACTGAACTAGAAAATGTAAAGGATGAGGAGGAGGGGCAAATGTCTTCAGACAACGAAGACAGCAGCAACAACAACAACAACAAATGGGGGGGGGGGGGAAGGCAATCTTAACAAGTGACATAAACAAAACTTGCAACACTGGGGCGAAATAGAAGAATTGGTGAACAAAGAATTAGCATAGAAGTGACATCCAGATTATGTTATCTTTTCCCGATCCACAGATTTTGTTAATGACAATGTCAACAATCATTTTAGAAAGGCCTTAAGTAAACGACAGACGCAGACAACGTTAGATAGGTTATTAAAGTCTTTTTCGCCTAAGAAACAGAAGAAAGTCATTGATGACAACTGATAAGATGCATTTAAAAAAAATATAATTTAATGGAAGGTGATTTGAATACTATACATATGTATCATGTAAAACAAAGGATTTGATTAATAAGAATGTGTATTGGTAGGAAAAAAAAAAACCATACTTATTGCGTAAAACTGCTCCTTCTTATGCTTGATTCATTTCTTTGCATTGTATCAAATCAGGTTAAAGTTGCTCGTTTTAATCAGTAGATCTAAAAGGGTTTTTAAATCTGAAAACAGATTCATTGATTTTCCCTAAGAGGCAATGGAAATTTGGGTTTTTGAGATACAAACCACAGTCAGGAACGAATTCAGTTCGTAATTAGAGATACCACTGTAATGATAAAGAAAATAGTAAACATGCATACTTACAAAATGTAGAACATTAGCAATGTGTATATTCTCATTTTCGGTGTTTTGAATAAGGACAATACTGTGTAAACAGTGACATCGTCATTGCTGGCGCCATCTAGAATCCCAGAGCTAGAAACATTTTTATCACTGACACTCAGCGTGTTCTTCTGGCTGGTCCCATAGCATTTCTGGTCCTGTAAACTGAAATTGACAAATATTTAGCAAATCAGAGCAGCCAAATGTTTCTAACTTAAACTCAATGTACATATTGTGTGATAGTCAGTAGTGGCTGGCCGAACGGTTAAGAACACTGAGCTTTCATGCGGGAGACGTGGGTTTAATCACCCGTAAGGATGGTGATTTTTTTTCTACTGGTGGTAACAGTAAAGTCCTAGCTTGCACACTGCGTGGCCACAGCACTAGCCATGTGGCCATAAATCCCCGGGCTCAAAGACAACCCTGCTTGCAGCGCAAAAGTGGTAAATGCCGGCAGTAACTGGTAACTGGGAGTAATCTTTATTTTTTTCCCCACTGAAACAGGTTCAGAAAATCATGTAAAGGAAGACTTCCGTGAGGTCGGATGCGGGCCATTGAAAATGCATTGGCTATAAAAGTAAACAAGACTGGAGAACTGGCTGCAGACACAGAGACTTTCCTGCTTGCCCCGATGAGAGCGACGTTCTGTAAAGGACCTGCAGATTCACGATGGCGATTTCATCTGCGTGAACTTACAAAATATTTAATGTCTTCCTGTCGTCGCCATCTTGAGCTCGCATCAGTTCTTCTGTTCTAGTAACTAATGATGTTCAAACTACTCGGTCTTCTGTTTCTCCGTGTATTTGGTTCAAGACGTACCTACAACCTGTCTGACAGTATCATTTCTTACTCGCTCTCCGGCGGTTCACTTTTTTTGCATGTGAGTGTTTGGCTGCGTCCAAGTTTGGCACGGACAGTATAGTATTTGGTATTAATATACTAATTTAAATATGTTCCTTTGAGGATATTGTGTGCGTTGACGTCTTGATAGCTGTGGCAATTGCGGAGGACACGGGTGAGGAGCATTGTCTGGATTTTTTCACCGAGGTACGCCGGTGTGTTGGGAAATCCACAGGCGGACAGACTGGCTGGCTCTGCACAACATGGTGGAATACTGATACATGATAAGGCAGACGTGGTTAGTGCCTTGTGGGAGAGCGTGTACAGTTCGGAGGAGCAGATGGATTACCACAGTCTGGTGAGATTGATGCAGTGGGGAGTGACGAGAGGTTCTGGTAGATGATCGAGGCTCAGAGGAAAGGCAAGACGGACGTTTAATCAGAATGCTACTGGCACCATTAGTATCGGAACTCTTCGCTGGCTGCTGAAGATGGGGACGGAGCGCTTATGGGAATGCCCCGAGTGTGTCGGTTCTTGAATCAAATCAAATCAAATCATGTAAATGCATTCATCTTCTGGCATCTAATCTGTATTTTCGTGTCTATTCTGCCACTTTCCTTATCGAATGTCCTAGCTATTCGAATTACTTAACTTGCTTTATGTATTTATTATTTAATCTTTGTGTAACATATCAGGAGAAAATGGTGATAGTTCGAGTTGTAAAACATAATTATCACTAAAATACAATTAAATTCACGCATTCCTGATTGGATTAAGCTATACACATTACCTGTTCTTGTGGGTTTGAAGTTTAAACACGGACAATGTGTTTTGCAAATCAGATACTGGAGGTAACTTGTTGACTCTGACGAATGTCTTGATAACTTGCTCAGCTTTCCCGACTTTGCCTTTTGACAACAACCAAGGCAGTGACTCTGGAATGATGCTGATTGCAATAACAGAAAGGAAAATTGTTTTTGTAATTTTTTTTTTAAATTAAATATTACGATTAGTATATGTGAGCCAGAGTAGCTAATTGGCTAGACGCCTGTGTGCCGGCTTGAAGGTCTTAAGTTCGAATCTGCATCGACGCATTGGGAAAAAAAAAGGATTTTAGTTCCTAGGTCACCTCAGCCAAAAATAGGTACCAGGTTATATCCTGAAAAGTAATGACGGCCGATATGATGACCACATCATACACAGAGTTCCCACTGGTCTTTAAAGATATGTCTAGCCCAATGTGCCATTAGCAGAAAAAGTCTTTTGGGTAAGTAAATATGTTACTTTACTTTACTTAGTCACTCCGATTCTATTTTGAGTTATAGAGGTTTGCCAGAGAGATCTCCAGACGTCTCTATCAGCAGTTTTCTTTCTGGCTTTGTTCCATTCCAGTCCCCTGTCAGTTAGGGACTATCACATGTTGACTTCCCAGCGAACCAAGGGTCGCCCTGGAGGTCTGGTTCCCTGGTTCTTAGCCTCCCATGGTGGCCGATTTTCTCCCATTCTGCATACATGTCCATACCATCGTAACTGTGACTGATCCACTCGGTTTGTAAGGACTGGGTATCAAGATCTTGACGTATTGTCTGATTGCGGACTTTGCCCCTTCTTATAACTTGAACCACCTTTCTCAGATATCTCATTTCTGAGGTCTAAAGCTGGTTTCTGTGAGCTGTTGTCATAGGCCATGACTCACACCCTAAGCTCAGGACTGGTACATAAGTAGAGTGGTAAACAGCCATTTTCGTCCTCTTGCCAATTTCTCTTTTGCTAAGAAACCCTCGGTTTATGGCCTTGAAGAGTCTCATAGCAGCTGCTTTTCGTGTAGCCAGCTTGGTATAAATGTCTCTATTTCGATCTAATACAACTCCAGGGTATTTAACTGGTTGACCTGCTCCAATATACACTGTCCCATCATGATCTGGTGTTTCTTCATCCCTCTTGAGATTACCATGGTTTTAGTTTTCGATAGATACTGATGGTCATCCCTCTCTTCTCAAGCTCTTTCTTCTAGACAAGTAAGTTGGACTGAAGGTGTGCCTCTGATTAAGCTATCAGGGTTACATCGTCTGCAAATGTCAGCTCTGATATACAGATTGGTCTCATCTTCCAGTACCCTACTGAGTACTTCTTTGTCTTCTCCTTACAGGTTCCAATGACATCATCCATCATAAGAATGAAGAGGTAAGGTGAGAGAATATCACCTTGTCTAACACCGCTGGTGGTCTTAAATTCTTCTGACTTTTGGTCTGCCGGTCTTAAATAATTTCTGCAGCTTTTGTAGAAACTCTGTATTGCACTGATCAGGCGTGCTGGAAGGTTTTTCCATGCCAAGCAGTCCCAGCGCTTGTTCCAGTGTACCTTATCTTTTCTAGATCTAAAAAACATTGGTGCATTTCACTCGTATATTCAAGGGCGTTTTCACTCAACTGTCTCAGTGAGAAAAAAAGGTCTTAAGTACTTTGGTTTGCACTGAAGTCACACTGGGCCTCATCTAGCTATGGTTCTACCAGAATTCAAAGTCTCTGTGGTTTTCACATTGTCTGTTGTCAGCCTTTTAAACTATGATTACAAGTTATCGCAGAGAAGTAAATATGTAAGCAATACATTTGAACAGAGATCTTCGACACGTCAGAGACCACGAACTGATAGTTGTATACTAGAAAACTAGGAGCCAGCGAAAAATTTACTTCAAAACAAAAGATCATCACTAAGATTATATTGCAGCAATGGAGTCATTATTCAGGATATTTAAAAAAGGTGTCATAATTAAACAAAAAACTGGAAAAAATGACTGACGAATTCAACAACCATTGTAAAATGCAGTTGAGCATAATTAAATAAAACCATCAAAAGGATAGTACTTCTGGCAGTGCCTAAGTAACCTTAGACACTGAAGCAAGTAAACCACGAGCTGCCATTTTAATCAATACATTGTCAACGGTGGTACTAAAAGTTAGAAGATAGAATGATTGCTAAACTTTCAGTTAAAATTTATAATAATAATTATACATATATCACCATTTATGTCTGATTTGTCACGTTTATTGTTTTGATAGCTTAAGATCTGAGTGGGTTCTAGGACCCAATTTGTAGAGTGTTGGAGAATAGACCCAGTGCCTCTAAGAAGCATGTCGTAATAGGCGACTGATAAGGAGCTGAAATCAGATGTGTTGGGTGAAAAGGCGCAGATATCACCGTCAAGCTGTAAAGCATAATACACCACTCTAATCAGGGCGAACGCAGAAAAATAGGATGAAAGCTTAAGATTATTACACACAAAAAGCAGGCACAGTGCAACGCCGACAATGGCGTGCTAATTTCTGTATAGTTTACCTCTTGAAGATTAGTGAAAGTTTCCTTGCCAGTTGTAGACTAGCTAGCTCTTTAAAGACAGACTACCACTTAGCTGGCGTTTGATTGCATAACATTTAGACGAAACGCCATTTAAGTGGCGCTTCATAGAGACACTTTGATATTGTTTCATTTGCTGTAACATGTTTTGAAAAACTAAAATTAGCGAAACGAAGTCCTTTCATTTTTGAAGTTCGGCATGCTCTTTGCGTCACTTTCTGATTTGTTTTAGATTAATGTGATTTCTCCAGACCAAATGATATGGGAAAAGGTCTAGAACTGCACACACTGCTTTGTCGTTCATGAATATTAGCCAGATAATGGCAATAGTCTTGATATTCTGACCGATAATTCAAGTGACAAACCTAAAGGTGATAATATAGGTTTGGATGACATAGAACAAAATATTTCAGTCGAATCATCACTGTTTCAATCATCTGTTTTCTCCCGTTTTCAGTTGCTGAAATCTTTATATAATACAAAAATAATCATAACGTCCTAAGTATATAGATCAATTGTTTAAAATAAAGTCTAGATGATATATAATTTAACAGAGAAGGCATGTGAATTCCTAGAATTTGGAAAACATTGTTGTTGAACAAGTAAACGTAAGGTAAACATCACTTTGTGTGTGTGTAAATATTCTTCATATGTGTCTAACATCCTTGAATGTTGTGTGAATTTAATAATGTTTTGTTGAAATACTGACATTGAAATAGTTTAGATTTTTGTCTGCACTCCTTTCTCAATAATTTGATTTATAATGTATCTTTATACAGTCAATACCTTTCCATCAGGGAGATTTTAGCTTTGTCATTTTGCAGTAAACAAATTCCGCTAAAATTTAATGCTGTCCCACCGCCACAAAAAAACCTGGTTTTCAAAGACCTTTAGCTGCCTATCCTTTACAGGACGTTGCAGAACCAAACCCAACTTCTGTTGGCTGTTGTAGTTTTTCTAGACAAATTTTACGCTCAGTGGTGTCCCATTGCCCTAAACGGTCAACTCTTGATACTACTGTCAAAACCAACGCAAGACGGTCTGCTCCCAAATCGTCCGCAGGTGGGATCGAACCCGGCACCCCAGCGTTGGCAACACTAAGCCACAGACTCCACTAGGCGTATACTAGGCATAGTGAAAACCCCTTTTTTAAATAACATGAACATAGCAATGACGTACCTATTTTATGTAGTTTTATTAAATTCTTTAGCCACATAAACGATACTGAAGATATGATTTATCGGATATACTTACAAAAAGTAGACAACAGAGAGCACATTAATTGGCAATGTTATCGTGAGTTGCAGGTTTTCCCACTCCGGAATGAGGTAACCAAACAGAGCCATGGTCATAATTCCCAGCGCCCAGAAAAACTGCATGGCTATAGTTGGAACTTCCCGATGGGCGGTGTCAAATGTTTCCGTCATCAACACGTAGGAGCATAATGCAGCAGTCTGTGGATATGAGAATGTTCTAAGTAGGGTGATATAAACTTTATTGGGCAATAGCCAATATAAGTACATAAACATAATTCAGAACATCAAATATACAATTAACCTACAAAGTACGTAGGCGCTTTGCTGGAGAAAAAAGCCGTCATGCTCAACCAGCATCCCTAAAGGGGGAGTTTAAGGTTATAATTGTGACTAGGTTTTTGTGCTCCATATAAAATTGTTTAGCATTGCACCCCACAACGAGCCCTTAAAAGGACTCACGCAGTATTGTTGCGAACAAAGGAGACGGACACAAATACTGTCTTGACGACGAAATCGTCTACGGGCCAGCCGGTCGCCGATGTGAAACCGACAGGAGGATGCTTGAGGATATGAAAACCGTAACAGTATCCGATAGCAGATACTGTCGTTAGAATGTGAAGTGCTGTACTTTCGTATGTTCTTGTCAGCGACATTGAAAATTATGGAAACGATACCCATCTGTATGAGACTGGGCAGGCCCAAGAGCCGTGCTGGTCAGAAAATATCGAGCCACTTATAGGGACTGAAGCCAGACTTCTGTCTCGGCAGGCAAGTCTGCTAATCACTCTGCCATCAATGCTGGTGAAAACTTGAGTTAATAAACGATTGTAATCTACAGTTATGTTTATGTTAAAGTCTTTACGTGGCAAGGGAGCCAAACCGTTTGCATGTCTGGCCATTTGTGTGTTCTCGTGGTTGAGTGTCCTGGAGTCGGTTCCTAACTTAGTTCAAATTAAAAAAAATTTTTTTTTGAAAAAGCAAATAGATTTACATAAACTCCCACATGAGCGTACAGAAACACACACGAGCGCGCACGAGTGGGTGGGTGGGGGGGGGGGGTGTTGGGCATGGGGCTAAACAATGATAGTTTTGTATCTGTTACATCGCATTCTGCTCGGCTGAAATAGAATAGAAAATTGTGTGTCTATTCAAGATAAAACAGACCAGCAAATGACTCATTCTAATGTTTTGTCACTGCTCAATTAGCTCCGCCACCCAGTTACTGAGCTTAGTATGCGGTGCAGAACTGTGAGCTATGGATCTCAGAACATGGCGGGTGGCATTCTGCCATAGAACTGGTTGGGCCTAATGCAGTATTACGTGTGTAATCGCTGATTTGTTGTAACTGCTGCTTTCCTCAACGGAAGAGACAGTGACAGACATTTTGTGTGGTTTTTCACTGGCACAGAACAATTATGGGGTGAGCCTTTTTTGCCGAGAAGTTAGAACTGTGACTTACATCTAACATCACACATATTCTCATGCATATGTTTATATACTCACATTTCTTTGCAGTGATACACACACAAATGCTGCTTAACTTAGTTACCTACCATGTTGGTAACACCGATGAGAAACTTGAGGATGAGGTACACAATAATGTTCCCAGACCAGATAATGCATGTCCCAATCACAGCCTGCACCCACAGACAACCCAGCATGACCATCTTGGATCCTAACTTGTCAGCCAGCGGGGTTAGAAAGAGGACGCCACATGCTGACCCCACCATGTAGATTGTCGAGGTCAGCTCCTTCTGGTAAGCATTGTCGCACACGAGATCAAACTGAAATCAAACACTGTGTTGGCATTGGAAGTACTTACTTAAGAAGCAGGTACGTGCAATTACAACGAACTTACTAGACTTCTTCTTCTGTCGTCTCACTGATACCAGGTTGTGGAACAGTGTCGTGGTTTTCTGTATTTGTCTTGAGCTTTTCGAGTTGCTTAAGTGATGGATTTGTTAATTTGTTCGTAGGTTTCTGCCACACTGTATATCCATCTCTTTCTTAGTCTACCTCTCGCCTTCCTCCCAGATGTTTTGCTATAAAAATTCTCATATGCTGTTTGGTCTGACTGCTTTCTCACTGGATGGCTGAGCCATTGCATTTATTGTCAATATAATCCAGACATGGTCTCATTCCGACTTTCTTCCTAACGCTGGTATTCGCAGCCCTGTCTCTTTTTGTGTAATTAGTGACCTTGCGGAGACAGTGCATTTCAAATGTAGTTATTTTCTGTTCTAGTACCCTATTCATTATTCATGATTGGCACTGATAACATAAAGTGAGTTTAAAGTTGCTATAAATTGTTTGCTGTTTTGCCAGAAGGAAGACATTGGGTATCCAAGCAATGGAGCTAATTTGTAGGTAACAGCATTTATCTTCTGTACTCTGGCTTCTAGCTGTCAATCGAGTCTACCATCCTCTGTAAATATGTTTCCTAGATATTTGATTGAGTCTTCCATCCTCTGTAAATATGCTTCCTAAATATCTGATCGAGTCTGCCATCCACTGTAAATATGCTTCCTAAATATTTGATCGAGTCTGCCATCCTCTGTAAAAATGCTTCCTAAATATTTGATCGATTCGGTCATCCTCTGTAAATATGCTTCCTAAATATTTGATTGAGTCTGCCATCCTCTGTCAATATGCTTCCTAAATATTTGATCGAGTCTGCCATCCTATGTAAATATGCTCCCTAAATATTGATTGAATCTGCCATTCTCTGTATATATGCTTCCTAAATATTTGATCGAGTCAGTCATCCTATGTAAATATGCTTCCTAAATATTTGATTGAGTCTGCCATCCTCTGTAAATATGCTTCCTAAATATTTGATCGAGTCTGCCATCCTATGTAAATATGCTTCCTAAATATTTAATCAATTCTGCCATCCTATGTAAATATGCTTCCTAAATATTTGATCGAGTCTGCCATCCACTGTAAATACGCTTCCTAAGTATTTGTTCGATTCTGCCATCCTATGTAAATATGCTTACTAAATATTTGATTGAGTCTGCTATCCTCTGTAAATATGCTTCCTAAATATTTGATTGAGTCTGCTATCCTCTGTAAATATGCTTCCTAAATATTTGATCGAGTCTGCTATCCCATGTAAATATGCTTCCTAAATATCTGATCGAGTCTGCCATCCACTGTAAATATGCTTCCTAAATATTTGATCGAGTCTGCCATCCTCTGTAAAAATGCTTCCTAAATATTTGATCGATTCGGTCATCCTCTGTAAATATGCTTCCTAAATATTTGATTGAGTCTGCCATCCTCTGTCAATATGCTTCCTAAATATTTGATCGAGTCTGCCATCCTATGTAAATATGCTCCCTAAATATTGATTGAATCTGCCATTCTCTGTATATATGCTTCCTAAATATTTGATCGAGTCAGTCATCCTATGTAAATATGCTTCCTAAATATTTGATTGAGTCTGCCATCCTCTGTAAATATGCTTCCTAAATATTTGATCGAGTCTGCCATCCTATGTAAATATGCTTCCTAAATATTTGATTGAGTCTGCCATCCTCTGTCAATATGCTTCCTAAATATTTGATCGAGTCTGCCATCCACTGTAAATACGCTTCCTAAGTATTTGTTCGATTCTGCCATCCTATGTAAATATGCTTACTAAATATTTGATTGAGTCTGCTATCCTCTGTAAATATGCTTCCTAAATATTTGATTGAGTCTGCTATCCTCTGTAAATATGCTTCCTAAATATTTGATCGAGTCTGCTATCCCATGTAAATATGCTTCCTAAATATTTGATCGAGTCTGCCATCCTATGTAAATATGCTTCCTAAATATTTGATCAAGTCTGCCATCCTATGTAAATATGCTTTCTAAATATTTGATGAAGTCTGCTATCCTCTGTAAATATGCTTCCTAAATATTTGATCGAGTCTGTCATCCTCTGTAAATATGCTTCCTAAATATTTTATCGAGTCTGCCATCCTATGTAAAAATGCTTCCTAGATATTTGATCTAGTCTGCCATCCTCTGTAAATATGCTTCCTAAATATTTGATTGAGTCTGCCATCCTCTGTAAATATGCTTCCTAAATATTTGATCGAGTCTGCCATCCTATGTAAATATGCTTCCTAAATATTTAATCAATTCTGCCATCCTATGTAAATATGCTTCCTAAATATTTGATCGAGTCTGCCATCCTCTGTAAATACGCTTCCTAAGTATTTGTTCGATTCTGCCATCCTATGTAAATATGCTTCCTAAATATTTGATTGAGTCTGCTATCCTCTGTAAATATGCTTCCTAAATATTTGATCGAGTCTGCTATCCTATGTAAAATATGCTTCCTAAATATTTGATCGAGTCTGTCCATCCTATGTCCTATGTAAATATTTGATGTCTGCTTCTATGTAAAATGCTTCCTAAATATTTGATCGAGTCTGCCATCCTATGTAAATATGCTTCCTAAATATTTGATTCAGTCTGCCATCCTATGTAAATATGCTTCCGAAATATTTGATCCACTCTGCCATCCTATGTAAATATGCTTCCTAAATATTTGATCTATTCCGCCATCCTATGTAAATATGCTTCCGAAATATTTGATCTATTCTGCCATCCTATGTAAATATGCTTTCTAAATATTTGATCTATTCTGCCATCCTATGTAAATATACTTCCGAGATATTTGATTTCTCGAAGCTGTTAGCCATGGACAAATAATTAAAGGCACAAAATGTCTGTTTAATTAACTTAGAAAGGGAGAAATCAGTCGTTTTAAGCTTGCGGAACTACTGAGGATGAGATCAGATCATCTATGGATCTGTCTGGAGTGCAGTAATGACGGTGCTCACAAATCACCAGACAACACACACAATTGAAAGCTGTCGTGGCCGTATTGGAATTAGAGTCAAATCGCGGTGAGAACAGCTGTCAATGTTTATCTTTGTTAGTGTGTCACCTAATTTTTATTTCCCTTCTCTACTTCTGTTAGTGCAAACACTAAAAATGCCTGCCTCTCTCAGCAAATGAAAGTTGCAGATGCTGCTCGATTGCGAGGATACTCTTGTTTTAAACACTGAACAATCGTTCGCTCACATATTCTACATTTATAAAACCACGTTTAAATACAAAGATACATATCATTGTTTGTCACACATTGTTCCAGGTGATCTGACTGACGCTCAACACACAAGAAAACGACGAGACTGATGTACAATCAGACACTCACTGGTGCCATCGGAATTTGAACTCTTCGCTAGCTGCTAAAGAGGGGGACGCTTAATGAAGTGTTCTGAGTTAATCAACAGTTAACAACATTAAAAATATCCTTGCACAAATTGTCCCATCTGCTTTTCTCTCTTCACCCGGCAGTAGCATAAGTGGACTAATCCTCACATGGCACTGGATCTCATATTGTCTTTGTAGTATTTGAAAACAGAAGATCGGGCTCTTTCATTTCTTAGGGGGAAAGAACGGAAAATACATAATAACAATATTATGTTCTTACCTCGGAAACAATGGACGTGTATGAAGAGTCCCACATGTAGGTCCAGCCATTTCGACAGGTAGAAGTCACGTTGCTGACGGAGATGTTGACATACTGTCTACAGGTGTCCCACACACAGGTTCCGTTCTCACACAGACCAGGCACAGACTGGCTCAGGTTCAGGCCGGGACTAGCACTGCAGTGATAATCTAAGTCTCGGACCTAGATATAGACAAGGGAGCAGTATTCTGAGGCAAGTCAAGTCATTGTGCACCTAATCGTTTTGGACTTTTTGTGTGGACCTAGTTAAACCATCTTCATCTGAAGGTTGTGGGTTCAGTTTTGGACCCCTGTTAAACAATTCATGAGTACAGGTGTTTCAGAAATGCCACGGATCTTCACTGGAGCTACGAAGTTCGTGCTTTGTGTTGACGTTCTGAGCTGCATAATCTATCTGGAAAGAGAGATAGAGTCA